TTTCTACAATTCTATTGTTTTCTCTTAATTAATATATAAACAAATAGATTAGAGTTCCCTATAGTCACTTTATTAAATATTGTCAAAACCTGGTCAAAATAAAAAATATTACAATAGAGTTTTTAAAGGAAAAAAATGCAATCGAATTACCAGTTAACAACCTAATAGCACCACTCTTATTTATCAATACTAATAGTTATAATTCGTCTCCCAGCATCAATAACAAAATAGGCACTAGCATTATACACTGGATCAAATTTATTAATAATTCTAGCAACTTAATTGCATTCACTCTTAATACTAACATATTTCATAAACCTAAGCCCATTAATAAATTTAAGATACTTAAACTAGTAAACAAACAATGCTGGGTTGCTGATAAATCAAAATTCAGAACTTTAGTAACATTTCGAACAAAATTACTTCTGAATTCTCTATCCGCAAGAACTAAACTCAACAAACAATACCCACTATTTTACACAAACAAATATGTTCTCAATGCAAACATTCTACAGAAGATCAAATCCATGTTTTCATATATAATAAAAATCATGAATTTTTGAATCAAAAAGCAAAAAAACTTGTCACTTTTTTTAAAGACCTAATTAACAAGCAGACAACAAAAGACTCATCAACAAGTAACCTTAATCACCTTCACCAGTTTAATAATGGTACTTTATTACTCAAAATAGTGCTAAGAGCTTCCAATCAATTCTCTAATCAACTTAACAAACCAAAATACAAAGCACAACTAGCCAATAAATCTCTCAAAATTCTCAACAAGATATGAAAACAGTGATTTGCCACAATGAATACAGCTCCTGTGAATGGAATCAAATGGAAACTCACCAAGGTAACACCTTCTACCTCTAGTAACAGTAATAATAACTACAAAGATTTTCTTATCAACAAATAATACAGATACCAAATTATTATAACAATTCTACTAACTTATCTATTTTTACTTCATTAATAATTTCATCATTTTTGGATGAGTATTAGCCATTTGACCTTTGCATAATGTACCTAGACAATAACTGGTAGTCTGTTATAGAAAGCAAATCACAATAGACTATAGTTAATTTACAATGTAAAGACTATTAATGTCAAGCTAATGAATTAGATTTCTAATAAAAGCCCACATTTAATGCTCATTTGCGATAAAAAAAAAATATTAAACTAACTTCTTCTCTATACTATCCTTTTACACAACAACTAGCATGGCCTTGGCATATTAGTTTCTTCCCTCAAAGAAAGGGCAACAGGCCACAAGTTAGTCATAGCTTATCGAGTTTTACTATTATTGAATATACATTCTTGTATTATAATAACAACTATTGAGTATAAATATAATTGGAAAAATAATAAACAAGGTTGCATCAGTTAAAAAAAAATAAAAATAAAAATAAGATACAAGGTTAAATAATCATAAATATGGGATTGTATTTATCAAAACTAGTTTTTACCCATGAACAATTATATATAATCTTATTTAGAGTTCAGTTTAAAAATAATATCAATATTATAGTCTACTGCAGATAGATAAAAAATCACTGCCTAAAGAAGATTGTGATCAAGTGTGTCCTGGAAGTAAAGGCTTCCACTAGGTGATAAGTCTCCTCAAATGGTATATAAGAAGAAAATCAAGATCAAGAATGAATAAGTTCCTCAGATAGTTATAAAAAGAAAGGATATTCAAATTGGGTATTTCTTATTGTGAAGAGATCTTGAGAAATAGATCCTTGAAGAAAGCTAGAAATATTTTTTTTTTCAATTTTTATTTTTTCATTTTCTTGTTGTCTGCTTAGACATTTTTAGATATCACCTCTCCTTTTTTTTCAATACATCCTTTTGTAGTTTCCTGTATTCCAGTGGCTTAGATTAACATACAGCAGTGATAACCTGTTGGCAATGATTCAGTGGACTAGGAGGGTCTTTACCCAAAGACATTGTGGAGTGAAATATTGTTCCCAAGGTTGAACTTAGAGGCTTTTATGCTTACAATGAGTTATTTAGATTAGGATAATAGTTTAACTGTAATATGTATCCTGCTGCTCGAATAAAAATGTACTCATGTTTTCAATTGATTAATAACCCAACATCTAGCCTGGCTATGAGTATACAAAAAAAAAAAAATATCAATATCATAGTAAAAAATGGATATATGATGGAAAAAGATGAAATATATACAAAAAAATATTGTATATAGAGAAATATTTTCTAAATAAAAATAAAAAATTATAAATTTAAAAAAATTTATAAAAAAATTATAAAATAAAAATAAATAAAAAAATATTATATATAGAATATTATTTAATTTTTTTAAAAAAATTTTTTTCGATAATTACCTGCTATGTATGTGTCTTTGATAGCAGAGTTTTAGTTGCTATTTTCGATTACGCGGGGGTGTTCTCCATGAACTTTTTGTGCGTCACCCTTGCATTACTAATACAGCACCTTTGCAGATGCAAATACAATTATTTTGAGTGGAATTTCCGTACTATAATAACTTATATTATTTCTGATATGTCGGAAATTTAGAAATTGAAATTTAGAATTGCGAAATCTAAAAGTCAAAAACAAAGTATCTTCAATTCTATGTGCTATAATATTGTACTGTAATGCTTTATGCCATAATAATATATGCCGTAATGCAATATGTTGCAATAATATATGCTATGCTATGCTGTAATACTACATATCATAATTATATATGGCATAATGCTAATATACTGTATATGTCGTAATTCCGGGAATAATAATAATTTATAAAAATCCGAGTTTAAATTTAATTTTAAAAAATAAAACAAAGAAATAAAGTCAACTGATGATAAAGTTTGTGATTAAAAAAGAAAATAAAGAAATAAATTCAATTAATAATAAAGAATTTTCTAATTTTTCTAATAAAAACATATCTTTCATATTCATTATTATTATTATTTATTTATTTATTTATTAATAAAATTTTTGCGTTAAAATAATGTTTAGGCACGTGAATGACATTAATGTAAGGAGTTATCGTAATTCGGAATCTCACTCGAAATAATTGTATTTGCACTTGCAAAGGTGCTGCATTAGTGACGCAAGGGTAACGCATGAAAAATCCATGGAGAACACCACGCGTGATCGAAAATAGCAACTAGAACTCTGCTGTTTGAATATTAATTTATATGATTTAGGATCTAGGAATGAGGATCAAGAGTAGGCTGTTACAAAATGAAAATTAATTGGTTTAGTTTGAAGATATTATTCCGCAGTATGCATACAATTTTATTTTTATACAAAATGATAAAGCGATTTTTTATGTGGCTATTTTTTTCGTATGATGTGGTGAATGTGAGATGCAAAGTGAGCGTGCATGCTAATATTTCTCGATCAAGTTTCATTGCAACGAAATTATCAATTCAGAATTTGAAATGCGCAGTACCATTCTTTCGGTACCAATTATATAGTTCGTCATTATGTACTCAATGAATTTTATATAATAAAACCCCTTTGTCGAGTTAGGATTATGGGGATCCCAAATTCATCGGGATAGCGTAAAAATTCTTTTTATTGTTAAACTAAGGAGGAGCCATTGATCAGATTACGTATCGTAATGCGATCATATTAACGTAATCCCTCCCAAAAGCATATACCAAAATTGTTCCTGCAAATTATATAAAATTGTGATGTCCCTGTTAGTGAATCCTTTTATCTGCCTTGTGCAAGCAAAACGAAAAAATCAAGAGAAATAATCAAACTTACTATTATTTACATCATCAATATTATAATTCCAACAAACAAGTATATTCCGAAAAGTGATAACAAGGTATGTTTATTTTATTGCTCGGCTAGCTTTTTGAAACATGTCATCACGCTGTTAATCGATTTAACCAAAACGCTTCTTGTTATACTGTATGCAGCATCTTGATCTTCGCCGAGAAAATCTCCGACTATCAGTGAAATTACTTACATGAATCTCAACATCACGCGCTTTAACAAAATTTGGCGCAGTGTATCTAATAAATTTTCCGGAAACACTTCACGTGCCGAATCCTGTGCAAATGTACGTATTTGTGATGAAAAAATTAAACAATAAATTTCTTGCATATGAAGCGGAATGGAATGTTGCAAAAATTAATCGTAGCGGTAAGTGTGAATCGGCAATGTTCATTATTACGTATTATTTTTTTTTATTTTTTTTTACCTCAGTTCCTAATCCCCGAATTTATGTTGTAGATTCGAAATTATTCAATCTCGGGAAAGTTCTTGATATTGAGAGTAATATAGGCGGAAAGTGAACGATTCATCTCGTAGTTATAGTGATAGAACAAAGAATAACTTAATGCTGGGGCTCGCATTAAATGGCCTAGGATCCGCGTACTCCCTCGTTCTTTGATAGCATGATACATTTCGTTCGTTTCTCTTGTTATTTTTGCATTCACGTATAAACAAATTTCTATGTTTTTCTTAATATATTTCTCTATACCAATTCAGCAAAATGTGTTTGAAGTTAATATGATAACTGAATAAATGCTTCAATATAATCAAGTACGTAGGATGTAAAAAAAAAACCCCATCAAAACTGCTGGCTGTTGCCAGGCATGAACACGCTCTACTTGTGCTTCCATCACAACTGTCGGCTGTTGCCAGAGCACAGCGTAATAGGGTTGCAAAGGGGGTCTCACCTTTACACTTCCATGGGTCAACTACCGGCTGTTGCTAGGCGTAGTAGTCATGGGTCGGAAAAACTAAAAATTGTAAAAATATTATATAATAAGCCATCTAGTAAATAAGAAATCCGTTATTAAGTACACCTATGCCCAAATTGGTCAATTATCACATGCACAGTCGTAAAAAAAAATTCCCCGAGCGCGTCGAACACAAGTTTAAATAATAGTCATTTTAGCCATTTACCGCTGAACTTGTTAATAATACGATCGGACTTTATATAAATGAAATTTCTACTTCAAGTTCGGTACCTCAAAACTAAGAAAAAAAAAAATATTTTTTTAATAATGGAAAAAGGACCACGTTTGAAGAGCTCAAAGTTTTTTTATTACAAATGTTCGGGTATTTTGGGTATACACAAGGTCTTCATTGAGAAACCAGCGTCTAAATGGTGCCTGGAAGCGTTCATCAACAAGTTTATAGACGAGAAAGAGACGGAACTATGTTTTGAACAAATCCATGAGCTCTTTTTGTCTAACCTACAACAAATTATGAACCAGAAGAATGTCGATAGTCCTATTCGTGCATTCTGTGCAGACTATACTGAATGGATACAAGTAATTATCTAGTTCTCTTAATTCGTATTATTTCACTGTGATTCAAAAGCTAATCCTAATATCCATCAAAGTTGTGGAAGGGGCAAGCAGTTTCGAAGGCATGTAAGGAGTTTTATGGAGAATGGATAGATCTAGGAATATCTTTACGGCAAAAACGCAAACAAGGAAATCGCCGAGGTATGTTTTATTTTATTTAATTTTTTTTTTTTTTTTTTTAATGTGGTTCTCTCTTCTTTTTGAAAGTATTAGTTCATTTATATTGTTGATTAGGATTTCGTTTCTGAAAATGCGAAATATATAGCATTTCAAAATGCCATTAGACAAAGGCACAAAAGAGCTCAAACACCTTCACACCAGTCACGGGCTCAAACACCTCCACCTAAGTCTTCACAATCCCTGACGCCAACAACACCAAATAAAAGGAAGATAGAACACGAAAAAGTCAAACAGTGAGTTCAAGTTAAAATCATATTTGTTTCGACATTTTTAATGATTTCCTATCTTTAGGTACATTGAATTAATCCAGATCGTGTGCATGTTTGGCACAAATAAATCTAAATCGGAGGAACTAGTAGGAAAAGAGTTGGCAAGCAAGATATCCTCATATCGAAAGCGGATGCTTTCCACCTGGACAAATGGTTTAGAGAAATACTTGAAAAATGCGTTTAATGTGAGTCTATATTGTATTTCATTCTATGGTTCGGCAAATTGATACAGTATATAATATCTATCTATATAAAAAACGGGAAAAAAATTCAAATTGGCGATGCAGGAGGAAATAATAGGAGAGGAATGAAACAAATTCAGATTATACTGCGAAAAAGTATTAATGGAATTGTAAGTATTGAGTTGTTAATGAGCATAAAAGAAAATCATGCATAATGATTTATGTTACTTTGATATGGGCGTATTTAGGCCACAGCTATTTAGAGTCCCGATGATCGCGATTAATTTTAATACAATAAGCGATTATCACCAGGGCAAACACGACGAACCAAATTTTTTTGTTTTCTGGTGGCATTGGGTGATTTTGAGGGGGTGAACTATGCTTCCCCAACTCCAGATTATCGTTCCGCTCCATACTGATCAGGTCGTTGTTTTTCTTCACGTCTTCTCTTCCATGGCAATTTCTCAGTTACGAGAGGCATTCGTCATAGCATTGTTTATTCCGTACGTAGTTTATTCTTTCATTATCAGCGGGATTTCTCGCCCGTTTACAACGATCGATCTTAAGGCGTAATTGAGAGGTATTCGGTGGATTGGTTGTTTTTTCAATTCCTCGAAAGACCTAAATGATGCACGGAATCCAAATAATCAGATTAGACTCGACAAGCCGAAAGTCAATCATGTTTAAATCCTACCATCGTCCACCGATTGTAGAAGAGGGCATACTGTATAGGTAAGTATTCCACTACGCGATGTTGACACGATTGTGTTGGTTAAAAAATAATGTTAATATAATATTATTCTTTAGACTTGTCGCGTGCCGCACATTACTGTATATAATTAATTTTCTATTTTTAATCCATGATATTACTTCAGATGCATAACACCCATAATATTATTTATGTGCTATCCTCTAATCCCGAATTGGATATAGAAGAATCAGATCTAGAAGTATCAAAGTGATTACAATAGAAACTGCTTGTAGGTTTTAGCCAAATATTTATATGTTGGAGTCATTAGCTTTAAAAAATGCTTCACTATAAATTCATGCAAAAGGATAAAGAAACTCTTTGTCTATGAATTGTGTGAATAAAATATTTAATATTAATAGAAGTAACAAGGCAACTCTTTCTATATAATAATTTTTCTATTCACCTTGTGACTGTCTTCAGAAAAAACATTTAAGCTTTTTATTTTATATGAGTTATGATATATTTTTCATTCATTTTTTTACGGTAGGTCTATTCTACACTTATGTATGTGTAATAAACATTTTTTCAGTTGTATTTTTCTATAATTAATGTTTAGAAAACACCCCCTTTATGAGCTTATTATTTTTCCTATAACAATATTTCTCAAAAATACCCCTTTGTGCATAGGCAAATGTTTTTTCTTGTATTGTGAGATACAAAAAATGAATATTATTATTGTTATTGTTGGTGAACTAATCAGAAAGATCAAAGTTGAAAATACTAATGATCTTACCACAAAAAATAAATTCTCGAATGTTAACTATGCAATGAAGTACAAAATACCATTAACATGATAAATGAGAAGTAAAATCAAATCAAGTGAGTTCTAGAAACCCATTATAATGATTTAATTTGCAACTGATTTAAAATTGATCAATAGGATGTTTACAATGCTTAAGAGTGAAATCAATCAACGATACGTAATCACTTGTTCAAATTGTTAATAGGCGAGGATCTAATCAGCAAGCGATACGTACTTTATCAAATTCCTTGGATTTAAGCCAAAGATTTGCAAATATTATTTCTGTAATCCGTGAACAAATTTTGAATATATTTGATAGGGCTAAGAGTGCGAACGATCGTAGATGTATAATTTAGTATCAGCTAATATTCTTGAGATTGGGATGGGAGCAAGTTTACAATAGGAATAGTTAAGAAGCAAAAATCAAGAAAATATAGGTTCTTGGATAAATAACAGTCATTTATGCCACCAATGAGTATCAGGAAAGGGACCGCCATTATATGAATTAGGGCTCGGCAAATTTCTTCCCTTGAATATCCTGTTATTCCATTATTATTATTTTTTTTTTTTATAGACGGTTGGCCTTTATATTTAGTCTATAAAGTTTTAATTTATGATTTTCCGATTTCTATCTTACTTGATGAACTTGTCTCACGTGCTGTAATTAGTTCGTCATAAAATTTTAATAGTAAATATGAAAACGTCATGAAACTTCGTTAGTAATTATTACCATAGACGAGATTCCCCGTGATAATGAGCTTCAAGGGAGCAGGTAGCAAGGCTATTTTATTATACAAAATTGTGTAAACAAACTTCAGATAATTGTTTGTTTACATTATTTATGCCATAGCTTATTTACTCCTTTCCTGTCGACATAGATAAGGACCAGTTGTTAGTCGCTTCAGGGGCGCAATCAAGGCGCAAAAATCAAAGTGACTTCGCTAATATTGATGCAGACAATCTCAAGCTATGAAAGGTAGAAATTCTCAACGATAAGAACATTCTCTTAAGCATTCTCACACTTCAGGAACAAGACGAACTTCTGCCAATGAAAAATATTTTGAAATACTTTCCTAACTCACCTGTTGAGGAACTTATCCGTATCATCATAAATTTGCCACGTACGTATTAGTTTGGGTACAACATATTAATATACGATTTTTTTCCTTTGCTAGTAATATTTACTTTGTTTACTAGTTCTCAGTCTCGAAGAGGCGTTGTCATATATTTCGCCTTTTATGTTCTTCAAATGCAGTTGGTGATTATCCACCGGTAAGGGTAGTGCTTTGGGAAGAATTTCTCAATAAAGTGAATGAATCGCTTCGACCAACAGCTAATATTTGAGAGGCCAATATTTGTGAAGGACCGCAATGCGGTTAATTAAGAATTACCCGTAATGCGATGAATATCAATATTTGCATGATGTTAATGTTACCAGCCAACAGAAATGGAGAACCAGGTTTTACATACTACTACGATCATAAAAATTAATGTGGCAATCAAATAAAGAAAGCGCACATTTTAGGAGGTATCAATGGAAGAATATTACCAAATTTTTACAGGACAAATTCTAATGCAAAGAAAGTACCCCAGCAAATTTGTAACTACGTATACGTATGTCTGAAAATCTACTTCAATGCGTATGGTACTCCGATCATCAGAGCTCCATATTTCAGAAACTCTTCCGTCCCAATCGACATCTCCACCGGTGCTTAAGACATGTGCGTATCTAGCTCGAAAAGAAAAGGATGAATATTTTTCTCGCCACCCTCTTATATTTTCTCCAGTGGAACCAATCTGGAGATGAAATTTAGGACGAAAACTGGGATGAAGATTAGAATTAAAATCAAAGATAAAAAATGGGAAAACCAGGGCACTATAAATAATTCGCGCTATAATCATCAACCTAATTATTATTATGACTCAAATCAACAATCATCTGTCTCAGAAACAAATCGAGGAATAGACATGCTTCAAGATTTCAATTTTATGGACTTCGAGTTTAAGGGTATGTTGGGCACTGGACAAAGTGGATAGACACTTCGATGCAAATCCCGTGGCGAGATGATTGCTTTAAAGAGTATAGATCTATATAAGAAGGCGAAATTTCTAAATAAGATGTTAGAAGAGGTTGAAATATGTAAGGATCTTGCAGACATTCAGGGAATACGTATACGTACTATACGTACTGTATATCTCAAAATTGATGTGCTACGTATGGTTATTACTATCGTTAGACCTACGTTAAATTACCACAAGATATCAAGACAACAAAGGGATACGGCTCTTAAGGCATTAAAGGCAGTTCACACTCATAAATTCTTCACAATGACATTCGAGAAGCGAGCATCTGAATTGGAAATAACGGTGACGTATAGCTAATTGACTTTGGGATGTCGAGCCAAGTTGATTCAAAGAAAAAAAGGATCAAGAGACATTAGAATTATCTAGTTTATTAGATTCTTATACCGTATAAGAATTTCCTATGCAGCAATTTCTTGTAACTTGAATTTTAAATTTATATTTTAATTCTTTGTACTAATTTACTCCGATAATTTTAGAGAATTGTCGGACGCATTTCCAAATCACGTGAATGTCGGGTGGTAAGACGTTTGAATAAGTTTTTTTTCTTAAAGTGTGAAGATCTTCACGTCTATCACACGACATCCTCCTTAAGAGTTTAACCGCGATAATTGATTTTTATGTGATAGTGTACCTAATAAAAGGTTTATGATGTGAATCAACGATCAATTGCGCTCATTAATCGACCAAGAAAAAATCGAAATGTAACATTTCTGATAGTAGTTGAGTAGATTTTGGAAAATTTACCGATAGTGAGATTAAGATTAAAGAGGCATAATTATGTTTTATCCACAAGTAAAGATCGGTAGATGAGAATGAAATTCAATCAGATCACAATTTAAATGAGACTAGTTTTATGAATTTGATATTTTAATCATAATATAGACGAAAATTCACATGATAATGAGCCTCAAGGGAATGAGCTAAAAATATATTTTACAATGCTTCATATATAAATGCTGATCACATAGCCAGATGCCAATATTGCGCCAGTGTCATCTATATTATGTTTAAATTTCTACTTTTTACGCATTCATCCCTTCACAGCACTATAAAAGATTTAATAATTCAAAAAAGATAACCTCCAACAATTACGGCCATACACAGTGAAAAGCACCGGAACCCGTCCGATCTCCGAAGTTAAGCCACTGATGGCCCAGTCAGTACTATGGTTGGGGACAACATGGGAATACTGGGTGCTGTAATTTTTT